AGCGGAACGAATGCTTGCCGACTTTGATAAATCCTGTGAAAAAATTGGTTTTCGACTAAACCTCACAAAAACGATGTTCATGAAGAAAGGATTGGTTTCGTATGCCCTGTTCACGCTCAACGGAACAAATATCTCTGAATGCTCCAGTTATATCTATTTAGGTCGGGAAATCAATATGATGAATAACCTAACACCAGAGCTGAGCAGAAGAAACAAGCAGCTTGGTCAGTTTTCAATAGCATCGAGGATGTAGTGAAGTGAACAAAGAGTGCCCAACTCCGTGCCCATTTTTCGACTCGACGGTACTTCCTGCCTTAACGCATGCGTCAAAAATTTGGTCGCTGCGTAAGCAGGATGAAAGGTTACTCAGTGTTATCGAGCGCACAGTCAAAAGGACGATGCTGGGAGTATCCCGTTCTACACAAGTAAGAGATGGGATCCGAAGCTCCAATCTGCGTGAACGATCAAAATTCAAAGATGCCGTTCTGTACGCCAAACACTCGAAGATTAGGTGGGCCGGAAACGTAATGCGTATGAATGACAACCGATGGACAAGAGCCGTTAGTGACTGGATTCTCCAGGATGTCAAGCGTACTGCAGGGAGACCACCGAACCGATGGTCAGAGTTCTTCACAAAGAGCTTTGAAGAAAGATATGATGCTCGACGTTTCCCTAGAGCGAGCACAACCCACTGGGCTTACACCCGACAAGAAAAAATGGAAGATTTACTGGCGCCCGCTCGTGTCACTCGACGATCAACTGGGCTACAGGTGATGCATGTGATGTTTACTTTTAAATTTCATCTTGAGCACTTTCGCATAGCAATTTTAGTCAGAAAATAAGGACTAAAGAATCAAAGTCTTGATATCATTGAATACAAATAGTTATGAGCAATTTTGGTCAGATTAACGTGTTTAAAGAACTTCTTAGTGTAATGTCAAAATATTTTCTCGTGCTCCAGTAGTCCATAACCATTTGAGTGATTGTAGAGTTGGAACGACACCAACATCTCATGGGATAAGAATCAGTGGGGTCTGAGCTGGTTGAACTTTTACTGGATTCAGATTTGGACGCCACAAATTGTTCAACTGAACGGGTGAGTGTAAGGGTATTTGAGCCGAATGATCCATATCGCTTGTGTTTACATATTACTAACACACTATCAACTCTGATGTTCTATTATACTATACTCCATCAACGCTGGCGAAGAGTAAAAGTGTGCAAATCCAATGGGTATCGATTGATTTACGTGTTTCCACTGAAGATATCAATACGCATGGGTTGCACGGCTGTCGTCGAAGCTTGTATGTACGCCAATAGAATATTGGTTGTACATGTGCTTAATTAGTTAATATTAATATAATTAATTTATAGGGGCGTGTGTGGCGCAGTGGTTGGAGGCACCACTGCGACACACGTAGAGTCGATCCTCGCGCCCATGGTCCACCAAGCCTTCCGTCCCTCAAGGGTCGGCAAATTGGTACCAGACTTGTCTGGGTGGATAACAGCATTGGCTTGATACATCGGTAGACTACTACGAGTCATTGTAAAGGCCAGATATGCATTCAATTACCTCCAACGATACTTAATGAAATTGAATGCATGGCGCATCCCTCAGGGATTGATCAAAGCTGAGAGCTTTATCCTTTATAATTAATTTGTTAAAAACTAACTAAATATATCGTTTTCTTGTTCAGCAATCGCGAGGCTTTTAAACAGCATACATTTACTTCCATAGAAAAACACAATACAATACAATACAACACTGGCTGACGTTTCGGCAGTATCGCCTTCTTCAGAGCCTGGAAGAGTATATTGATATACATTTTATTATGCCTAACGTTTCAGTAACACATAAAGAATGATGGAATTCTATGTGATAATCGCATGGTGAACAGCTTCTCGAAAAACCCACCGTTTTCTACGTGCGTTCCAGCGAGGATGAATTGGTGATCAGGGTCGCATATGGTCAATAACTTCACCACCCCACATCTAAAGCCGATTCTAGAATATGGAGCGAGACCACGTTTGACCCCTGGGCATTCTTCTCTACTATTGATTCTAGGGTTCTTTAGACAGCAGGACCTTAACGTCAAAGTTTACATAGAATTCCATGTGTCTCTGGCCGACGTCCTCGAAATCCTTAACCACCATCGCGATAGTTTATCTCTAACCTTACAGTCGCACGAAAATGTGATACACGAGGAATTAGAGAATTAATAGATTCAAAAGATTCAAAGACCGTTAGACTAGCAGTTAGTGATAAGGAGGTAGAGTTAGTAGTTATTTTTCACCAGTTAGATGTTAAGATAACGGAGGGACATGTTGGTAATGCTGCTCTTTATCGCCCACCATCTGAAAAGGATCAATACAGAAAACAATAAGTGTCAACCGGCTATGACGGCACGTTTAATCATCCGTTATTTCATACGTTAAAATGGATAGACCAACGTTTCCCATCTTATACTTGCTTATTAAAGTATCAGCTGATGATCTTACGCCAAGCAAGCCGTCATTCTTCAGAGTTAGACCCATTAGCAACTGTCTAAACGGGTCAACGGAAAGAATAACATGGTTTCTAAGCCTAATACTTACCCAGTTGCCTAAACATATTCCAGCTCATCCGACGAACACCCAAACGCTCCTAGAACTTCTAACAACGCGTACGTAATGGACTTCCTTCAACTTTCTCGCGCTTTACAGAGACGTATCGAATGACTCCGCAATGCAATCTATCCACGAACTTCTTGTTGAACATGAAAGAGGAATATATATGCGTAGCTTGTCTATTCAACAGCTTGTGGTTCTCTTAAAAAAGTACCTGAACTGCTCGATTTTCAGATGGTTTGGGAAATACTATACGCAGATGAGAGGACTGGAAGTGGGACAGCGACTGGCACCAAGTCTCGCCATTGCATTTATGTCTAAAACAGAAGCCCCATTGTCGATCTCCGGCTAGTACTCTGCTGTAGATGTATAGATGATTGTTTCGTTTTTTTCTCCATGCAGGAGAAGTTGGACAAAAGAATTGAATTATTTAAGGAGTAGTCTGAATACATTAAATTCACTCGGATGAAATCGAAAGAAAACTGGCTTCCATTTCTTAACGTTTAAGTCAATTTATCGGATAGCTGTTATATGACAAAGTGGTACTGAAGACCAAGTAACAAGAACATCCTGGTTCATATCCTCTCTTCCCACCCTTCACACACAAAGAAGGCGCTTGTGAGGAACATGTTTCGAACAGCCACCTTTCTGTGCACAAACAGAGAGCTAAGGGAGGAATTGCGGGACTCGGCCCGACAAATAGCCATCTCCAGCTACGAAATAGTAACCCCATGAGATGAGTTTAGAAGGAGAACGTCTCGAAATTGAGCGGTTTGGCTTGAACAAAATCTCGTTTACCTATCCCTTTACTAGCGTTGAAGTAAGTGTACCTATAAAACGATGTTTAAGAAGGACAGGTCTAGACGAAGCAGTAGAGGTAGCGGAAATACTACCGAATGCTCTTCGTCGCCAGTTACTTCGTAGCCGTCTATGTGAAACAACAAATTGCGTAATTTGCCTTCATGGCAGAGACGGTGACTGCATGAGTTCAGGTACGATATACCTCATCTCTTGTAATACTTGGGGAGACGAATATATTGGTGGAACGGGCAGACCATCATGTATCCGTATAGGACAACATCTAGATGGCGAACGAAAAGCAAGATACAAAAGCGCTGCAGAGACGAATTTGTTATAAAAATCACTATCCTCTTACGGGATGACCAAACACTGACGCGCAATTCTTGAGGACTCTTGGATATGTAGGCTGGTGCAGCCATCAACCATATGCAACTCTAAGCGATTGTTCTTCCTCATTTGAAAGCGCGTAAAAAACGGCGGGTTTTCCGAGATCTGTTGTGAGATTCGGGAGCTGTTTGTCACGTGATTATCATATAGATTTTCGTCATTATACCTTCAGGCTCCGAAAAGGGCGACACAGCCGAAACGTCAGCTACTGCTGTGTTGCTTGTGGTTTTTGTACGAAAGTAAACCTGTGCTGTATAACAATATCGGGATTACTGAAAAAGACGACATAATCTTAACCCTTTTATTTACTGCCTTTTTCTTTTTAATGGCAGGGTATGTTGCGAAATATAACTCGTATATAATGCTGAGATATTTGCAAAACTCCCGACCGCAGGTGTATGCGGTGGGGAACGAACGCTCGCTATTGTCCTTACCGAGGAGTAGCGCACTTCACCACCACACCATCCTGGTCATTCGTTTTGCCTGTCTCTCAGCTAGTTCTATTGATCTTTTACCATCAGCAATCACCCGTCAACGGGATTGATCTGGGGAGCCCAAATCGACATTGAACCCAGTTAAGCTGAGGCCTAGTTATAATCACAATCTTAACCCTTCTGTTTACTGCTTTTTTCTTTTTAAAAACGACACATTTATGATCTAATGCCAAGGTTAATAGAAAGTCGATCTTAGGAACTATCAAAACTCATTACTTTGTCAAGGAGACCATCGTTATTCCTGCTTTAAAAAAATCTTCTAGTCACTTTGGCAGATTTTGCTAGGGAATTTGCAATGCTACCATACTTTCGTAACATTTTTTGTATTTGATACTTGTCAGCATTTGTGAAATGGCGACAAACGAGTCTTTTTTCTTTTGTAAACTGTTTAATTTCAGTGCATCCACCTCAAATCCTGGCCAAGTATCAAGTAAAGTGCTGGCAGCGAACTACACAGGGCAAGTATACCTCTGGGCTGACTTCTCGTTCACGACTCCATTCAAATTCCAATATGAGGACTATCCAAACGATATGCAAAATGTGTGAAGCGCTTTCAGTTGTTTAGAATGAACTTTGGGTTTATTTATGAATGATAGTTCAATTGAGGTGTGCTTTAAATTCGACGATAAGCGACTTCTTGCCGTTCACTTCACAGTGTCGGACGCAGTAAAGGGTAAGGAAAGGGAGGCGACTACTGATCCTTTCGTCTCCGGATGGAAAGTCGTCGACGTCGAAGTTAAGGTATGCTCTTTCATGAAGACCTTCAAATTTTCGTTATTTTCTACTCAAACGATCGAATCGAATTTTCCGTGAAAGGGCTTGGCTGCTTCATTTGACATTTACGCGACGACTCTTAAAAAGCATTCCTGCATTCCTAGTCGTTTAGCTGTTGTTGTTGCTGTTGTTGTCAATGTTGTCGTAGCTGTTGTTGCTGATGTTGTTGCTATTGTCGACCTATATATCGGGAAAGTTCTTTTTTATTGACATCTTTCCCATTCCTCCACGGACTGCTCAGCTTATTTATGATCTCTCATCACCGCCACGTGTTTTAATCGTTAGAAGCAACCAATGCTTTCAAAATTTTGCGTTTCTCTGTAGTTTACCTAAAATATTCATATCATTGTGCATTGTTTCCATTTCACAAGTAACCGAAGGTAGTTTGGTTCTTCTTAGCTTTGAATCGATATATCTCAGCTTTGTTGAAGTTCATTTATAGGAATAAAAACTGTCAGAGTCGACATATTTTGACAACAAGATACCTACTTACTTGATACTTGATACTTGAATGGCCCATCCTCACTGGTTGTGCGAGCCCCAGCACAACCTCCATCCCTCCGATATTTGCTGGCCAAGCCATTGTGATTCCCTAGAATCCCGAGGTCAGCCTGGCCAAAGTCCGTCCCAGGTCTTCACCACCACAGACAGTCGCAGCCCTTGTGGATCAGAGGGAGATTTACCACCATGCGACTTTAATACCAGGATGGTGGTGGGTCCTGGTATTGGTTTACTCTTAGCTAGGCTTTCTGATGGAAACACCGGACTCTTTCTCAGCTTTAGAGACCCTGTCGAGGGGATGAATTGTGCGCCGTACATCGCACCCTAGCACCCAGGTTCGCCTCCCAGCCACGATGAGGCGGTAAACCGTTGGGAGGGACAACAAGATACACGTCAGCATATTCGACAGTGATGAAATTCCAACTTTTTGGAGCCTATGAGTCGTTATTTTCTTTTACTTCTTTTGTATACAGCGGTATCTCAAGTGGCAAAGTGATTGAACAAGCAGGATTTCGGCCAGAAGGGACACACGTTTTTCTCAATGAATGCCTAGTCACCGCGCTTCCGTTAAGATCTCAATTTTGTTTTAAGGATTACAGTGTTCTACAGTAGAATTCTCAAATTTTGGTTCAAAATATTTAAATAAAAGCAGCACTTCAGAACACCTCTAAGCGGCGGGTCAAAGTCGGTTCTATAAAACTGCCAGATCTTCAGCTTCTGCAGTATTCCAGTTATCTAGAATTTGTTGTTGTTCACAAATAAAACGAGAAGAAATTGCATAAGCGCAAATCGGTTAAATGATAACCAGTCGCAACGTTCCTTTATTCGCTAATTTTGTATACTGTTTTGCAAATCTTGTTAAATCTTCACCATTTGAACCATAATCCGTTATCATCCGTAGTGTTTAAGGAGTCGCCGTTTTCGTTGGAGGCGCTCTCGGATCCCAGAAAAAATCCGTTCGACGTGCAGTCGGACAACTGTGAGCTCTGTATATCTCTTCAGCGGAATGCCGTCTACTTTACTACAGAAATGCTGTTACCTGCTTTAATTACTTCGCTCTTCACACTGACTGCCGTCTTTTTCCAGGTATATGACAAGCAATAAGGAATGACCTAGCTCAGACCATCCCGCTTTGTTAAAGCGGTTTTCAGCTCATTGCCTGCTAATGTGATCATTGGGTGTTCATGAGGAAACGTTGCAGATATCAATCGTTTTTAATCCATCGCACGTCCACCAAATTCTCCTTTTTCCTTTTAAGGGGGGAGGGGTGGGGGGAGGGAGGAGGAGGACACCCTAGCGTTTTCATGGTAGGTTCGACACTACTCTTCATTCTAAAGCTTTCTGTTGAATAGTGTTCATCCTACCGTGTGCGTATCTTTTTGATCACCATTTCATCCCATTAGAACTTCCAAATCATTTCGTGCGAGAGAATGTGCGATCGCATCCTAAAACTGCAAACAAAAGCAATTGTTGCACCGACTGAAAAAACTCCGGCTGAAGAATGCTCTGAAAACAGTGTCTTTTGTTCTTATGGAGTGGAAAGATTGAAAGCAACACTATATGTTTCGACGCTTCGTCACCATTAATTAGAGCCTTTTTTCCCAGAGCTCTATGGAAAGATATTACTATAAGGGACATGAGAAATATAGGAGGTTTGCTCGAAACTTCGTCGAGGGTATAGGAACTGAAGACTTCAAAATTCGCTATAACGTTTCGCTATTATAGTCGAAAGATCTGCAGGAGCCTTTGAAAGGCAGCGAATCATGATCTCGGTAGAAAATTCAGTTAAAAGGCATAATAAAGGCATAATATTGCCTAACGATTAGATGCCTATATTTGCCGGCAATAATGCAGCCATTGATGTTATGGAAGCTCAAGGCTTTCCAATTCTTAGCGTTTATAGGGGTTGTTCTTGAACATCACAGCAACTTCTTTACGTTCTAGAAGGAAGTAGTTCTTGAACTTTGGACTTCAATTTTCAAAGCACAAGCTAAAACAAGTTATCCGTGAGGATTTCATTCGCAAAACGAAACACTTTTGAAGAAGTAGTGCAGGAACGGGCTGCTGAAATTTAAATAAACTCTGCTGGAGTATATTCATAAATATGATTGAAAGAAACGGATGAAGACCTGTTTTCACTAGCATCGCTGTCTGTACTTTAATGGTCACTTGCGAGGCAAGAAAAAGTCGTTATACTGTATGTTGATGTTCAGGTGTTTCACGAAGATTCAAGATACTAAACATCCCGTCTTGAAGTCGTATTGGGGATCATACCAACCATAGAACTCTGTTCGTTTTATTTTCTCGAGCCTGTCATTACTGGAGGTGATCTGGTTCGTCGATGTGTTCGGCTGTGGTTGGTAGGACCGTCTTCTTTCCTCGTACTTAGTGTTGTTGGAGAAAACATCGATCGGACGCCAAAGATTTTCACATCAACAATCAGGGACTAAACGAGCAACCAACAAGAAATACTGTTTCATTTCATCTTATCGATGAAGGCCATCCGTGGAAATAAGCACTCTCTAGTTGCCTGTTTTGAGTGTGGTAGTTATTTGGTGGAGAATGCAGGACCAGAGAGTACTAACTGTTTGTTTTGGCTATTCAATGTTTTCATTCTAAAATTTTATGTAGAAGCAGACCAAAAGCGCTCTAACTGTTTTATTTTTCTCTTTTTAACAAAAAAGAGTTTAAAAGCGAGTCATAGGATTCCGTAGTCTTATACTGCAACCTACAGCATTTCTAATGAATCTGCTAGTCTTAACCAACTCTTCGTCGGAAGCAGTCAGAGCACTAAACGGGCGGGCTTCCGCAAAGCTTCAAGTCTTAAGCCATATTTAAATTTAAAACGACCTATTCCGAACCCATCAAGCCCCTCATTCTTCCGGGGTCGTTCAATTGGTATCGGACTTTTCTGGCAGGAAGCCCTACAAAGGTTATCCATGGATTCTAGGGAAATTTGATTCGACCAGCATTCAATGACATTCATACCGAAGGCGGAAATTCTCATGCAGCAGCCAAGCCGACACGCAACCCCGAAGCCCTCCATGAAGTACGAATCCGAGAAGGAATTAAATGCAGGATGTGCTGGAATCCACGTAATATATGGTGCCAGGCGATAGAAAAGAATAAATTCAGACATTTTCCCAAAGCTCGACGTTCTTTTGCTTCATGAGTTTGTAAAGTGAAAGTAGTTAGATGTGCCAATGTAGATGGTGCTGGTACGGTCCAGCACCTCGGGTGACCATCGCCCATCCACCCATGATCGAAAAATTTATACCACCTTTGTCTGGGAGTATAATATAGGCTCGGTACAACAGTATGCTGATGTGAGTCATTTTATGGGTCAGATGTTTATTCATCCAAATCTATCCAATCAATCTAATGGGGTCGAATATATCGAACATCGCTAAGGAATGCACCAACGTTGAACGCCTTTTTCCGTATTGTTTCACCATTTTTCATGGGAATTCAACTTTTACTGTAATCATATTCTTTCTTATTTTCAATAGCTTAACACTTTAAGCTATTATAGTGTGACCAAAAGTAGCTTGACTTTCAGCTATCCAAGACTCAACCTATGCTACTCAGCTTCTCAATTGTGTCACAAATCCTCTCCCTTATCCTTCTTTCTCAACGACTGCCAAGCTTCACCGCCCACACTCCAACTATACGTGAGCATTGTTCTCTCTTTTCAATTAGAAATTAGCGACTGATTATAACGATCCAGTTATTCCATACGCGATCTCTTTAAGTTTCAATTACTAAGATGATAGCGCCCTAGCTTCTTTCTAAATATACGAAGTTATGAAAAAAGGACTCTTTTTCCGAAAATTTTAATGGTCCACTGAAGAACCGAAATTGCAAAATCCCATAGAGCATTATTTCCTATTAATTGTTTTCAGTTTATGAAAAATGGTCTTGAAAATAGGCACAACGACTTTCCTATTCGTAACTGCTTGAGTGAACTGTGTTCCAGTAAAGTTCGCTGGCTTCAATCTGGTGATGACGGCTATGCTGTTCGTGGTTTCTCTCGTTCTGGAGCGACTAGCAGGCTACTCGGCTCAAATTCCACCACCTCATTCAATCGACCGATTCGTCCTGATCGTTGACCGCTTTCTGCCACTTCCTAAGGTGAGCTGTGTGTCGCGGTATCATAGGCCAAAACCCAATCCTACTTGAAACACCTTTAATGCGCAGCATACGCGCTCATTTTTTGTTCATCTTTCTACAATTAACGAATTTATTCTAGATTCTCATAACCACGTAGAAAGCAGGAATTCGCTATTGCGTACTCCTTCTTGAAGCATCCCAAGAGTGGGGACTCTGATTTTCTTCAGACTCGTAATAACAAAGCGATATTCGTCTCAAAAATTCACCGCTGTTTATCTTCTTTTTCTCATGACCCTATCTGTTGCGTAGACTCCAGTTCTTGTTTGTTACTGCTAAACATCGCAAGTAATGCCCTTATAGCTTTGAAGCAGCCCTATCTCTCGAAACACGTGCCAGGTTACGAGTGATCAAGCTTTCTGTTTCCGTAGTTTCGATATAAAACATCTGCATCGGCAGGAAAATATTAAACTTTCTATGCTGACAACTTCATTGTCTAAAAAGTGTAGTGCTGGCTTAAATTTATTCCACATGCAAAGTGAACTTCGATGGTGAAATCAAATTGCTCTTTGGAACTTGAGTAGAATTGCTTCAGAAACCAGATCCCCCAAAAAATGGAAAAATCGTTCTCCAAGAAACTAGATATGGGCAAAAAATATTCAACTTTATCATTTATTAACTGGAAACCCGTTTTACGGCAGGTTGCTTCTGTCTTAATGTTCCTTCGTCTATCGGGTACCCATAAGTCTTAAGGAGGGGCAAATCCTGGGTCTGAAATTCGACAGCAGTGTCGGACATAGAAAATGTATACTGGATGATACTCAGAGCAGTTACTGAGCACTGAATGTGGTGTCGGAATTTTAAAGCAAACAATGTTCCTGTTCTGCCAAGGACATTGACCAAATCGTCTTCGTAGATGCTTAGCCTTGAGCGTCACCAGCTACTGAGTCTGTCGCATCCTCTTCTATCGTTTACGTTGTCGATTTTCATAAAACTACTTCATTTCATCAAATCATGCTCTAAAGAATTTTATGCGACAGTGAAATGGATAATTATAAATGCTACTGTCTACGGGGGTAGGGGGAGAAGGGTACGTGTGGCGCAGTAATTGGCGGCGCCCTGCAATACACACGGGATCGATTCCCGCGCCCATGCTCCTTGGTACTAGACTTGTCTCTGGGAGGATGACAGCACTAGCTCGATACATCGGTAGACCACCGCGAGTCATTGTAAAGGCCAAATATGCATTCAGTCACCTCCAAACGAGCTTAACGAAGTCCAATGTATGGCGCATCCTTAAGAGATCGATCAACGCCGAGAGCTTTATCCTTTTGATTTATTGTCTACGGTTGATAACTCTGATGTTGATGCTTTCTACAAAGATATGTGAGGTTTAATCCGGCTCTGAATGGTATTTCACAAATTTTTACGATTTGAATACGAGGATTTTGAAATGTCTCATTTGATGTGGCTGTTAGAACGCCTTTGTGTAGACGAGGTGGGGTCTGTTTGAACATAGAACAGCACTATCGTTATAGCCAATTCCGACAATCGTCTCCTCTTACTGAATGTTCGCCTGTAATACACGAAACGAGGGATTTTGTCATATTACAGTAGAAGAATACTCACCACCATAAAAAATAATTTTAATATCTTCATACGCGAAAGTGAATGGACCGATAGCAAAGAATTCATGATGGGCTGCACTTTTAGAAGCACTTCATGTTGTTAAAGAAAGAGCTTTAGTTCTCCAGTTGGAAATTCGAACGGCATTTATGTCTCAATAGATGTGCCCCGATAAAAGTAACGTAGTTTGTTCGAATAAGTCGATAGCGGAAACAACTGCAACGGATATATACCGCTCAACAACTCATCAGTTAAATTGTGGCATTCCTGATGGACAACGACAATTAGACTGAGTTTTAGACCTTAAAGTTAAAATCACAATGTTATACCTTTTTATTTTCTGCCTACCATAATTTCGCGTCTAATTGTCTAATTTCGTCTAAAAAAAACTACAACCGCAGCTTAACTGGGTTCTATGCCGATTTGGGCGCCCCAGATCAATCCTGCTGACGAGCGATTGCTGTGGCAAAGATCGATGGAAATAGCTGAGAGACAGGGAAAACAAAGGACCTGCATGGTGTGGTGGTGAACGCGTTACTCCCCGGAAAGGACAATAGCGCGTTCGTTCCCCACCATAGACACCTGTGGTCCAGAGTTTTGCAAATATCTCAGCAACGTTGTGGTTGTATTTCGCTTAAAGTTAAAGTTCAACGATTAATGGATCATCCATTTACTGGAAAGATTACAAGAAGTGATCGGTCAAAATCGAACACATGAAGAAAGAGGAGAGTTATAACATAAAACAGATCACTTTATATTTTTCTGCTGCTGGGTGCTTGTAGGAAATAACGTTGGCGTTTCTTCCACTGGTCATGCTTAGAAGTCCTATTTTTCCTATGGTGTCATGTGTACTGTAACTGGTGACATGAGAGTATATTACTCTTGAACCTCAGCATTGAATGGAGCATTAAACACTTTAAGTTTATACGCCGCCGTTGTTACAAAGCGATAGGTTGATTCTAAAAAATTCAGGGATTTCGAGTTGATAATTTTGTTTTTATCTTGGTCGACGGAAAGTTGATTTTTTTTAGCAGTTGGTAACAAAGCCATGTATTTTTTCACTGTTCTCGGGATAATTATATCTTGATCAATGCCGAGGTTAATAGAAAGTCGGTCGTGGGAGCTAATGAAAAGTGATCTGACTTATGCTGTAACTCTCCTCTTTTTTCATGTGTTCGATTTTGATCGATCACTTCTTGTAAACTTTCAGTAAATTGATGATCCATTCAACGTTGAACTGTAATTCCTTTACAAAGAATTATCAGATGGTGAAAGATTCTTTCAATCATCTGAATGAACCCTAACGTTCCAACCAAATCCTAGAAGTGTTTACTCAATTAACTGTCATGGCGAATTTTTGTATTCTGTAATTCCGATCACTTTTTGTTGTAGTGCTCGGCCCCATTTGGTTGGTTTTGGACGTTACTTATATAAACTTATATATAAGTAATCTGCCGGAAGCCATTGAAATTAGTTGGGTACTAATTGGATGGCTGTGGTCACCAGTAGTGCGCTCCCCCAGTGGGTCTTGCCTTCGTTTTTTTTCTCACGCAGTTGTCGTCCATGGTGCCAGCATGTTTCGAACATGGTTACTTCCGCAAAGAACATTCCGTAGTTCTAAAATCGTTTCCATCAACGAATGGAGATGGTTAACGTTGTCTACAAGCACGTCCACCCATCGCTATCCACAGCCATCGGAGTCTCGCTCCATTGTCCTTTTCGCCCGTCTGTCATCTGTACTTTTAATTATGTGACCCGCCCATCAGTGTTTTCCCGTCGCTGTATATTCTCTTGGGTCTCGAAGATAGGACTTGTGAAGATTTGAGCTACGACTCCATGTTGTGTGCATTAATCAGTACTGCGACTACAATTTGTCAAAACTGAAAATAATGGTCCTCGTTCTTCCGACTCTCAAGGACTCAGATGCGGTAGCGTATGTTAACAGATCTACGGAAAGATTGCTAGAATTCAACTTTAATTCTTTAGATTGTAAATTACTTAAACCTATTGAATTACCTGAACAAAATAGTCTCGGAAAACGCTATTGCAGAGGAGTAAGCGTTGTTGTTACCTTCCTCAACACGGACGTAGCCAGGTGATAAAGCTAGATTCTTTTAAAAACTTAAGACACAGTTAACGATACTAATTGGTCGTTTATAACTATGGACCAATACCAGCACTGACAGTCTTCGTAGTCCTTGCGACCGACAGTCAAGCTATGTGAGAAGTGAAATTAAAGCATACTATTAGGACTTGAAGTTTTATAAGGAAATCGTACCATCCACAGCATTTTATTAGTGATTCTATGCCAGAGCTGATCCCAGAAGAACATTTTGGGATCGTCACTTCAGGAATAACCAAAATGGAATGGACAGCGGGAGCGGCTGTCTGAACTGTTTATGAAAACCAAAGGCAGCCATTCATGGTAGCTTACGATTCTACATTTCCTATTCTCACTGTTACACGCAGAAGTATCACAGTGGTGATTGCCAATTTTTTACATGGAACCGGACCATCGCCTCTTTCACTCAAGACTTTTTTTTTGCAGAAAGGAAAGTAAGTGGTGAAGTTCAAGTAACTAAATCTAAAATTCATCTTATGTGGGATTTATTCACTCCTTCAAGCGGTTTTTGGAGAGATATTGTGGACAGCATCATAGGAGAATATTAGTTTATCCAACACCTTCACGATAGGAAGTCACCAAGAGATGCCTTGCTGGAGACACTTTTGTGCTGCACAGCAACCTCGAAGTCATCTAGCCGATATCATCTCGCCAAAATTATTTACAGTTAATACCTTTATCGACTACTAGGCAAACACGGATTTGATGAAAAGTCTTATTTGGCTAACGTTTCGCCGCCTTCACCCTCTTCAGACCCGTGCTGATTCGAGTCGAGGGTGCACTGCTGGTCGTTATCGCATCGAGTCCAATCCGAGGGAGGAAGCGCCGCTCGAATGAAGAATCTCGAATTTGACACACGCCGGATGTTTATCTACTGTGATCATCCAATATGATCTTGATTGTAGGCAATGCATCCTGCAGAAATCGTTCATTAGCTGGCACGCTGCGCGACAGTGTCTTGAGACTGACTTTCATTAAACCTCGGCAAACAATAATCAATGCACTTTCCGATTATTGAGTTAAGATGAAGCTGATAAAAAGGATTTATTCGACTAACGCTTCGACGTTGGTTATTGCTTGCCGAGGTTTAATAAAAGTCGGTTTTAAGTTATCTACAATCCTTCTTGAAAACGTACGGAAATTGGGATGGGATAACATCTGAATGATAGTCAGTGGGCAGATACTACAGCACCCCTTCCGTGACCATAGAGTTCTTATACCATGAAGCATTAGCCATGCGGAATAAAGCCCTGATGATTTCGGTTCCACCTTAAATCTCCATCAGTAAGAACCTCATCGCAACCAGTTCGGAAACGATTATAGCCTAAAGTCTTAGGAACTGGAAGCCAATATTCATCGACACATTGGTTCTACTTTTTTAACGTTACCTGTTCACAATGCTAAGTTCTCAATGATGCTAAGATAATATGTTAGGTTATATCCAGAGCATAGTGAAACTCACCTTATGATATAGTACAACAAACCGGTTCGACCGCTTTCTTCACTTTAATTGGCTGAAAATAAACCGAACCGCAAAAAGAACACTACCGAGAAGGTTGTAAAGCTTTTTCCTCCGAAAAAAGAAGACACTGTTCGTGTTCCTTGAGTGAACAGAATCCATTGCACCACTCTTGCCTATGACAGAGGCAATTCGAGAATTTAGTAGAGTCCTTTTTTGTTAATCGATGTTCAATGCGTCGACACGTTGATAAATTGTGTTAATAACTTTGCAGCATCTGATGGTGACTCTCTGGAGGTGACTGACTATGACGAAAGCATGCTTGGAGACACGATTATTTAACCCTCTTACAGTGAACCCACGCGAACATAATTTTTCATTATTGGTTTGACTCTACTTGACTGTCTCATTTTCAGCAGTCCAAACACGAAGACGAGTCTATGAAGTACAGCGCCTTATCTCACGCCTGCAACCATGTCATCTTCGCGATTTCATCCATCGTCTATTTATTTGTGATACTTGGTTCGTTCGTGTTCTAATAGGAGCCGGACGCGTGTAAATATGCTTAAATGTAACACACAAAGTTCTAATGTTGATTGAGGTCGTGACATCACAGGAAACTCTGCTTTAACTGCATGCTACCAGATGTTGGAAATCAAAATGCACATGGTAGATTCACACTTTTAGATCACCACATTTACCATAGCCATCTCTATTAGAAAGCCACTGTAAGAGATCTCTTAGTCGAAGTACACATTTCTGTTCGACATAGGCAACCAAGACCGAAAAGGCTTAAACTCAGCGAACGCGATTATCTATAGCTCCAGCATCTGAACTCTAATGGAGTGCCACGCCTAATGCACGTTATTTCATTGATAAGCTAACACGAGGTTATTACCAAATGTTTTTCCGGCTAATGTTTCGAAGTCTTCGTCTTCCTCAGAGCTGATGACCCTAGTCGGTGGTCTACAGTAGTTCGCCTTCTCTATGTGGTATCTTCGTCATTGTACCAAGAAGAATCATCTTCTGTGGAGCATCATTTGAATGAGGCAACCTCAGCGATGCCCTTTTGCACAGGACGGTTGTCGTTGATAATTACTGCCCGTTGATAATAATTTGTTTTTCAATGGACAATCTGTCCTGCGGCAGGCACTATTACATTGGCTTCCTGTAGTGCTGTGGACCATCGACTTGGATCATCGGCCTTGAGGAAGACGGAGACCTAGAAACGTTAGCCGAATAAATGTTTGGTAACAAACCTCGTGTTGGCTTATCAATGAAATAACGTCCATTGATCATTCATACCAAAGTTAAATGACTGTCGGTTTGAACAACACCGCGCTAAATTCAGACCACTGTGGAATGTGAGAAATTGCAGAATTGTAATGGACAGACTATGAAATTGTAGAAAGCACAACAGAAGGTAGAGCCTGTCTATGGGAAAAGGCGCACAAGTGAAGAAATCATTGTAATAGACAGATTATGAAATTGTAGAAAGTACAACAGAAGGTAGAGCCTGTCTATGGGAAAAGGTGCACAAGTGAAGAAATCATTGTAATAGACAGATTATGAAATTGTAGAAAGTACAACAGAAGGTAGAGCCTGTCTATGGGAAAAGGTGCACAAGTGAAGAAATCATTGTAATAGACAGATTATGAAATTGTAGAAAGTACAACAGAAGGTAGAGCCTGTCTATGGGAAAAGGTGCACAAGTGAAGAAATCATTGTAATAGACAGATTATGAAATTGTAGAAAGTACAACAGAAGGTAGAGCCTGTCTATGGGAAAAGGTGCACAAGTGAAGAAATCATTGTAATAGACAGATTATGAAATTGTAGAAAGTACAACAGAAGGTAGAGCCTGTCTATGGGAAAAGGTGCACAAGTGAAGAAATCATTGTAATAGACAGATTATGAAATTGTAGAAAGTACAACAGAAGGTAGA